AATATCAATACCAACTTGCGAAGCGATGATAACATCGAATGACATAAAAGACCGAGTAGAGCGTTAGTAAATCTTTGAGCCTTCCGGAAGTCAGGCAGCTTCAGCTAATTTTAGGTCACGTAAGGTAGCTGCGGAAAATCTAGGATTTATCACTTTCACAGACTAAAAGGCACATTCACCCTTCGAAAATAATATATTAGTTTAGACCACGAGTTGTCTTCGACAACCCTTAAATTACTGCAAGACCTACAATTTTCCTGAGAAAACCATCCTTTATTATATATACACTGGTAGTTCCCATATTTTTGTGCCAAAAATTTTTCTAAGGAACTTCTTTGATAAGTTAAATGGCCTATGCCATCCAGGCATTTGAATCACTGGCGATATCAACAAAGGTCGATTTTGCCAACCAAGCCAAAGCAAGAGGGCAATATGATGGGCTTCTAACAACATAACTTGCCGAAAGTTTAAACTAGTAAGACATAAGAAAATTTTTTTGGTACGTTCCTTACTATGCATCAAACGAGATATTTATACATGTTAGTCATTTCGATGGGTTTCATGGCTGATATTTTTAATGTGATTTATTATTGAAACGGTAGCAACTTTATTGCTAACGTAATAAAGAAAAACAAACGGAAATATTTTACTCAAATGGTGAAGCGATCATCAGGTTAGGCGCTTGTTAGAAATTTCTTTCCGATATTTGGGAGTTAGTGTGCAGGCCCGGCAAGCTTTAATGTCCTAAGACTTTAAGCAGATTGGAATCACTTTATTCATGTATATTCATGGTTTATAATCCACGTTTCTCTACTCTTGACAGCTATTTTGATGAAGTCATTCGTCCTGAAATAACATGCACCTGAAAGTAACAATGGGAGGAAGGTAGTTATATGAAGAAATTCACGAACAAAGAGTATGCAAAGGTAAATACCTGTGATAATAAATGCTTATTTGCAATGTATGGTACTAACCACATTGTTTTGACGAACAACTTTATAATGAAAGTGCCCAAATGATTCCCAAACAAAGTGTTCTTCGCTCTTAGAAATGAGGGAAGTTGGCAGTAACCTGATGAATAGCTGAAATGAGTAGTTTTTATTGTATAGTACAGAGACGCTTGAGTCAAGGGTAATGTAGAACATATCAGTTACGATTAGTTACTTTTAAGATATCTCCCGAAACTACTCAGTATCCAGAGGAAGTAACTGAAAAAGACATGACCAAGATAGCAGTAGGCTTAGAACTAGATCCATTTGTTTCCACCGAAGCCTGTGATTGTGGACTCCTTCCTTCAAAGAAGAGTAAAGACTGTGTCCACTATGTATGCGTTAAGTAATGTGGCAGGAATAATCTCATTGGTAAGTAATTAACAATCGTCAGTTTATGAAATCTTACTCTAGATGAGACCACGGGTTCCTTAGGCAAACGAAAACCTATTTAAAAAGTTTCTTATAGACACTTTTCACTTGCGATGCTGTAATTGGGCCACTGGAACTGCGGTATGACAAGATAAGCGAAATTATAGAATGTACAAACAGGCTTCAACTCCTAGACAACAGTGAGCACCATATGAGGCTGTGATACGCAAACGGCAATCTTGTAACTTGTGACTTAATCGTCTCGAACAACACCCGACAAATAGAATACCTCCTAGCACCAGGTGTGTGTAGCCTGTTTTATTGAGGTGCAATAGCTGAACGTCCATTAGGAATGCGTCGAGATCTTTTGCTTATTCAGCAAATAATATCTGACTAGGTTTCAAAATGATGAAATGGTTTTACTCGTGCGATATCACCTTTGTCGGTTGTCTTTAATGCGCGGTGTATCTACACTGCGTGAGTCTTTTCCGATATCAGCGTGTGTTTCTCTAGTCCTTTCCTCCACTAGATCCTTGGTCCGAGTTAAGTACTTACTCAGAACCACTTTACATAACTTTATCACTAATTGTTCCACTACTCATATCACTGCCAAGTAGAATATAACTTAGTTGCTCTAATATTAGCTATTTTTATCCTTCATAACTCTTAAGGGAAACCTAATTTCTTAGTCTTTTGTAGTAATCCACTTGTTCACTAGTATGATGATAATACTGCTAACAATGTCCTCTGGTATTATTGTACCATGTGACCTAATGGGAAGCACTTGTCATGAAAGCTGTTAATGTGCAGCATACTGTATGATTGGGACGGAGTCAAAGCAATCCAATATTACAACTGCAGTCATTGTAAAAGGTCTCAGAGCTTAATGTCAAAAAAGGAGGGAGGGTTCCGCATGCTGATCAGCAGATTTGGTAGTGGTCACAAATGTGAATCGCTCCGATCTTTAGGACAGCAACATGCATTATTTTGGCAGCTCGAGAATTAAACATGAGTTTAGATACTGGAAGTATAAAAAAATGACTTTATAAAAAAATTTTAAAAATAGCAAACTTAAACAATAATGCCTTCGCTCCTAACATATACAAGCCTGCTCAGTTTCTTGTTAATATGCTATCCCATGGGCCATACACAAGTTCGCCAGATATCCTACAGGTCACCATATTCAACAGGTCCTAATCCTTTTAGCTACTTCTCTCTAAAATGTCACTTATATACTTCACGATAATCCTTCTACCTAATTACTATTATGCTCTATTTTATCTCAACTTCCTAGGCCTTTAGTAAAGCTGAAATTTACTCTTTTGTTTTTCTTTTTCTCATTCACACTCTTCTCTCGCATAAAGTTCGGTTGCTCTGATGGTTAGAAAAAAACATAACAACAGCACTCATGTTTGAGAATAACTTTATTTTCATAGAAAACGTCATAGTTTTCTACGGTAAGACCAATATGGTTAGTATCATACATTGCAAATGTGCACTATCACATCAAGTACTGTATAGCTTATTCTTGTATTTTTCTTGTAAATATACTTACAGTAATGTATTATTCATGATTGCATTTTATACCACTTTGTAGCTGTGCAGGATTATCTCCTCTACCTGAAATAGCGTTCAAGCACGTGGTTGTTGCTCAACTTCGATGGAAACCTTCGTGGAAGATTTACAAATTAACAATTATAAGAATCGGTTCCGATTGCTTGCACTATATAATTCAACAATTTGAACTTTTAAAAAAGGTGATAATCTTACTATCCCTTGTAAACGTTGTACTTACCTCAATATTGGTTGGTTATCGTATGCCTACAACTACGGGTTGAAAACGAAACGAAGTCGACTTTCCTGCGCAACCTGGAGGAATACTGTTTAATTCAATAATGATACGACATGGGTCAGACAATGAGTGTATTTATATATATTTATATCAAATATTTAGCTGTTCAAACATTATTAACTTGTAGACAATCTGCTATTTATCATTATATCGTACTTGATCGTGCCTGTAAAAATGGCATGCATTTTCATGTAAATTTATTTTTATATGAAAATATAAATTATTATTATAAACGTTACTCACTATATTGTACTGTAGCATTTGCAGCAAGCCATTAGGCAGGTAAGGGTATATCTGAGAACAGCCTGTGTGCTACTAATTATTATTGCACACCAGAACATATACAAGTCGGTAATTCTGATTTTTAAAAATTCATTTCAACTTCGCTGCGTTTGAAGTCAAGTGACAACTAATTAAGAAACTGCCTCCAAAGCCTTCAAACCTTTGCTACAGCACTCACTGTCGATGGACCCACAACACTTTTTGAGAAGAAAAAGCTACATCTCATTGAGAAGCTGATGACCCGGACGGTTGAAGCGACTCCATTGAGAACACTATTCTTGTGACGACCGAACTGCATAACTCTTTGAAGTTTTTCCCGTAGGAGTAAACTAAAGCTCGAGGCAGCCGACTGAGTGAACACAATACTCAAAAGTTTAGTGAAGATTAGGAAGCTTTACCTCTTAACTAAGAAGCGAGGCCAAAGAAATCAGTTTGGTTTACACAATATAGTAAAAGTGATATTGAAGAACAAATGATGATATAAGTCTTGCGCTTCAAACTTCTCGCTGAATACAGTGCTTCGTGCAGTGCCTTGCTACCTTTTTGTCTGTTATTATTCTTCTTCATGAGGAACATTACTGGGTCTTAGTGACATAATGCGAATGCCAATTTAAAATCTTGACCTCTAATAAATGTATTTGCCTTCAATGGATAGAATGAATTCGCAGACTTAGTTGGAATCAGATATTCTGCATTTTTCGATTCACTTCGTCATTCATAGTGTCTTCATGAAAGGTAAATAAGAAAATCCACTTGTCACTTGTTCGTGCATTTATGCAAATGTTTGTCATACTGATACATTTTGAGTTCTAATGCTTGATAGGTGAATGGTAATAGAACTATGCATCATAATCTGCTGAACGCATATTAACACATAGGATTCAGCGTAATATCTTTCAAACAAGAACAGAAGGCATTAGATATGACATTTTCAACTCATCTTAAAACGAACAGTGGGCTGTTAATTCACATGATCTGTAAGTAATGTGCAATTAGACTAAAGTATACGTCTGATGAAGTGTGTACCAACAAACCGTGAATTTGTTCTATCTTTTAAAAGTTGGTTTAAAAATACGGTTGATCATCTGCACGCAACAAAACTAGTACTTCTCTTATCCTAATCAAAAGATATCTTTGGGAGCTCAGAGAGCATACGAATTATTAGGTTTTATTTCGAAAATGGAAAACATAGCAGCATGGTGAAGCATAGTCTACAGAACGAAAAGCTCAAGGCATAGTTCCGTTACCGAAAAATTTGTTTTGATAAAGTCATAGTGTTATACATAAAGCATAAGGGATTTCATAAATCAAGACTAATTGGCATCTAGCAACCGATGATTGTGGACATTAGATGTGAGATAACTCAATATAAGTGCTGCCCTATGTAAAAGTGATAAGAAGCAAAGGTATTTTAAAGTATTCCTAGAGAAAAAGGTATCTAGAATACTCTACTTATTCTGACTCGTCACTTTTGTTTGACTTAACTAAGTTAGTTGGCCTCATTACAGAGCCACGTTTGAACACCTGAAAATGGCTAGTTTTGCGTGCTTACTAATATTTATTAGGTAAACTCCACCTTTGTTATTATTGTGCTAATTTTTGCAATAAGAATTATTTTAGCAAGTGCAGGAAACTTTGACGAGCTTATCCTAATAGACCAGAATGAGTTATTACCAAGATTGCCTTCAGGTAAAACTTGGGACCTTATTCTTCAAAACCCCTACGAGGTAGGTGCTAATAAAAAGTTTCCTTACCTCCAAATTTTTTAATTTAATTTTTTTGACCACAAGCCTTTGCTTTAAATTATGATAACGACACACAGTTTGTGAAATATTTAGTATTATATTCAACATTGAATACATTTATACATAATTATTGAAAAGATATTTTCCGAAAACCCTACTCAGTAAAAAATGACCTGCCTGAGAAATTATCTAAAGTATTTTTTGGTCGAGTTCAGCTAGAACAGATTGTATTCATTCCACCACTTTATATTGTCCTAACGAATTTTATTTTTTTGATGTAAGAAGCCTTATCATCCGGATTTTTCCTGATGAAATATGAATGGCACAGTCACGTTGTCCTTCACTAAGCTCCACATATTATGAAATTGTCTGTATATGATTTTTTGTGTCTGAGAGAAGTTAGTATAATACTGAATATACTTTCCTCACCATAATAATATGCCCCCTTTGGTTCTGCTCCCATATTTGGTTACCTTTAATGTAAAACAAGATACTCCAATCGCCATTTTATATCTATGGATTATGGCACTTCTTGTCTCTTATCCTATGCTCTCTAAATAGATATTCAGGGTAGAATACTTGCAAACATTTCATTTCCTGTCTTTAAAAAGAGAAACCTGGTCAACGAATACTGGTAAATGGCTATCATAATTTAACGTTACCTTGAAATCAGTCTAACCTCATCAGAGATATTCAATAGAAACATTTTGAAAGATTAAACTTTATGAGTAAGCTAAATTCTCTAATTGGAAAACTATGTTAAAAAGCCGAATGCTTTTTTAGTTTCATTAAAAGAAAATGAAGATAATACACAACTTCAGGCTCTGTCGATCTCTGTTATTTATCAGATAAAAGTCCCTTACCCATTCTTATCAGTGCTTCTCGAAGTGTTGTGAGTTATATTTCAATTACCTGAGTGAGTTCAAATGGACATCAAATTGTCACAGCCTATCCTAGTTATCATACGTAGCCCTCTCGAACGATGAGCGACCAGGAGCACTAATCAGCGAAGTGGGCTATTCTGCACGAGATGTAATTTTTAGATTGGGTTCGCGCAGCACTTTGTTCTTATTATATATTAAAATTAATTTAGCGGTGTAATGATGTGTATCTTTCATGTAAGGTCAAATTGTGTTTCTCCACCTATATAAGTGACAACCAAAGCTGTTCATGAAACATATTGCGTATTTTCTGAAGTGACATTAAAACTAAAATATGTTCCCAGCGACGAACAGTTCCAGTCTATAGATCATTTAGTTCCTTATCCACACAAAAATTGATATGCACAACAGATTCCCTACATTTCAATATTAAAAATGAAGAACTATTACATCTTTTAGTAACTATTTTACCATATATTTGTCATGAACTTTATTTTATTATTGTTAACCATGTTAGTTGTAAAGCGGTTGTAAAGAAACTACGAAATGATATCATCTCGCGAAATTTGTCTTCTTAATGTCTTATTCAAATTTATCAAAGGGACTAATTGTTTTAATATATTTGATTGTCAGGGAGTCTAACAGTGTTTATCACTTCGACTCCTACTAACTTTTTAAATTATGAGGCATTTGTAGAAGTAGGTGATTTCAAGTATTTATTTTTGGTAGAAGGGTAGCAGTTAACCATATTCAAAATCCACCGGTTCCTCACAAAGGTTTTGGCTGATTTACAATCCATTGTTAATTTCTAATTAGTGTTTGAGTGGGTTTTCTTAAGTTTTAACTAGAATATAGGATCGATGAAGTCAATCGATGTGAGTGTTCGAAGAAAGATTCGCTGAATTAAGCGATTAGTGATCGCATTACATCGAGAAGTGAGACAAATAATTTATAGGTTGATGCGTTCTTACTTCGTATTTGAATCGTGACACACTGCTAAGAATAACTTATAATCACAGATACTGAATGATGTTATGGGACCATCATGATGATAAATCTAGAACTGGCATTCAACATTCAACTAGGCGCTCCTTGTTATTTTGTTGATGCTGTTTTGTGCCTTTCACCCTTAAACACTTTCGTGAGGTGTTTTTCATACTGTATAGCCAATAAGGACATCGATTTCAGTAAAACTGGTACTATGGTGTCTTCTTTATGACCACAGGTAGATAATATCTTGCATCATGCAATAACCTGATTTGGTACTCTGTTGCACACTAGTCTGAAGAATGACTAGTAACTGTGCATCCTTTAGTAGAATAGTGTAATGCTAAAAGGAGGAGTGTTTATTCTTAAAATAATTTAGACAAGAACTATGCATAATGAATTAGTGTTACTGTTGACATGATTTAGCTTCTTTATCACAAGAAGGTTGTCCTTAGGAATAGTCTTTTAGTGGAAATAAAAAGTTGTTAATCTTAGATCATTTAATTTTTTTTCTTTCCTTCACGTTCCCCAGTGGAACATAGGGCTTCAAGCTAGTGGCTTGAAGTTTCTGTAGCAGTGTTTTATTTTACAGGATGGGGTTGCTAGCCTCATGCCCAACCTTTCCTCTTCACCAGCATTATTTCTGGCTTAGCGAGGTAAACGAGTGAGTAATTAAATAATTTCTACACCATGAGATGGAAAATTTTCTTCAGCAACATGTTTTAATAAGTTCCTATTAGAATAATTTAATAGTTAAAGGCAATAAGATCAGTTTTATTTCATTAACTTTCAGTATTTTTCACATTTTAAACCTTGTTCTCAATTAACTGTATTTGAAACTGAAAGATTTGTTTATCATCATTTCTGCTTGGCTAGTATTGTATGAGTTACCGTAGTTTAAACTTATAAAAATTACAGTGAGAAAACTGCCGTTTTATAGTTTAATGTTTCAAAAATTCAATTTTAATTCATAACAGGGTGCCATTGAAATTGCTGAATCACCGGTGGATAAATTCCAGATTCTCATAAACATTACTGGGAATCAACAAAATGATTATGAAAGACTGAAATATCGTCTTAGAAGTACAGAAGATTCTCTTTTTGTTGAACTGGTATGTTTCACTGTGATAATTGTTTATGAATATTTAAATCTACATTTTCAATGGTTCTGTTTACAGAAAAACAAGTAGTGGGACTAATTGCCACCAGCTATTAAATTGGTATACAGAGTTTCTGTGTATTATTGAAATAAATACGTAGTTATAATTGAAATATTGTCGCTTTTGTGCGTCGATGGCACAGTGGTAGAATGCTCGCCAACTGTGCAGGTGGTCTGGGGTTCGATCCATGGCCGACACGCTTCTTTACTTCGCTAAGCTAGTAATAAGACTAGTAAGGAGGGAAGGTTGGGCATGAGGCAGGCTAGCAACCCCATCCCGTAAAAATAAACACCACTGGTAGCGAAACTTCAAAGCTCTAGCTTGAAGCCCTATGTTCCAATGGGAAAGTAAAGGAATATAAAAAAAATTTCACTTTTAATTCAGGACTAATACCCATCTAGAAATGGAAGTAAAAGTAAACAGTTTATCGAAGTGTCTCTCTTCGACGAATTCATTCATTTAACTGTACATTCTCAATTTCACGTAATTATTCTGTTACATGCGTGTGTACACTAGGTTTGCCAGACAGTGAATAAATATTACTCTGGGTTATTCTTTACTTCATCGAAATATTTCAAGCATATGCTGAGTAATCAAAGGTGTAACTAGTGTTGAAGTGAAGATTAGTAAGTTTAGACTAGCCTATCGTAATATGCATACGTTCAGAAAAAATTGGCTGTCAATGAAAGAGTCTGGTGACAAGTAACAAAAGAAATGATGTAGTAGGTGAAGTGAGTAAACAGAATGTTAGTTAAGAAAATGATATTAATAAATATCATACGAAAAATGCCTAAAATAGTAGCGATAATAAAAAAAAACATTGGTAATAGTTGAGTTTGGAATTATACCCAAGGTAGAAGGAGGGGATGGAGAAGTTTCTTCTGTGTACATAAATCAGGGTTTTTCCTATCCGAATCTCTGAATCTTCGGCAATGCAGAGTATACGGAAGCTTACCATTTTCGGTAGGCTTCTTTTGACTTTGTAGATGACTTTGAGCGAATTCTTCTCGCACGCTGAGCGGCCAGTGTTCCGTATAAGCTCAGTTGTAGCACCCCATATTGATCCGCTGTTAACTTATTGTAGGCAGTCGGAATAATGTTCTTTGGCTACTTTAGATAAAACACGCATCGAATGACCTATATATGTGGCGTCAGAGGAGCAAGTGAATTGGTAAGAAAATATGGAAGTGGTCCAGTTCGATAGTCTGTCTTTAAAGTTGTTGGAGGATATTGAGCGGCAAGAGAATACCAGCCGTAATGTAGAAGCTAAGAATGATGTTTTCAGGGTGTTTGATATTCTCAAGTGTCTAGTGTAAACTTACTAATCTTCACTTCAACACTAGTTACAGCTTTGAATACTTATCACATGTTTTGAAATATTTTTACAACGAATTCAGTAACTCAGAGCAATTTGTATTCTTGCCTAAAAAACCTTATGTAAACATACATGCAACAAAATAATTATATAAAATTGTGATTATACAGCTAAAAGTGAATAAATTCGCCTCTGAAAAGAGACACTTTGTGTGCATCTAACATGCAGTTATTTTAATTTTTTATTGGTATTTTTATGCAATGTACTGTACAACACTATTGTTTCGTTCGGTATAACATGCATATAGGAAAATTGAATGAAATATTTCTGTTAACAAAAACAAATAGATAGAGTACCACGAAGATCATTCACCGCAATAGACGACCGTAAGCCGTCTGATCTGATTATGTCATCGTTAAATCCTGAAACTTTAAAACTAAAAGATGAAAGTTAAATATGTCACATGGACTGGGATCTTTTTTTATGGTTACAGATAAAGTTTGTCGCCAGTTGCCAAGATGAATGAAATCTAGAACCGTCATGATTGCCTGCTAAATGACCACAAATACTTGACGCTTAAGTAGTGGAATGCATCACTTTTCAGCTTGGCTTTTTTTATTCCTTTTACGTCCTCAGTGGAACATAGGGCTTCAAACTACAGGCTTGAAGTTTCGGTAGCAGTAGTGTTTATTTTTACGGGATTGGGTTGCTAGCCCCATGCCGAGCCTTCCCCCTTTACCAGTCTTACTACTGGCTTAGTGAGGTAAAGGAATGCGTCCGTGGCCGTGGATCAAACTCCGGACCGCATGTATGGTTGGCGAGCATTCTTTCACTGTGCCACCGACGCACTCAGCTAGCTTAGGACTAGTCAATCATAGATATGGCTTCCTATCCGAAGACCAGTTTATACTCATGAAACAATCGTCTGTTGATCAACTCAATCAAAGTTCAAAGACAATCAAGATTTATAAAGTGGGAAAAGAATCGTTAGTATACCTTTATTGGTTAGAAATATTCGGTTGATAGACTGGCTAATTGACTGACTGCTTTCAACGTAGAACTTTGCACAGAAGTGAATCATTTCAAATTGCCACACTCCATGTATCACAAAAAGGAAGACAAATCAGAGAAAAAAGATGTTCAAAAGAACTATAGTAAGCAGAAATATAGGGGAGAAACAATGGTAACATGGAAAAAGATGGCGGATATGTCAGATCATAAAGAGTGAATGCGTCTGCACCATTCAGAACAATTTCGAGTCATTTCACCACAATCGTCTCCAGCTACTACTGGTTTTTAGAATCTCGAGGTTCCCAACCAGGCAGTCTGCATGTAGCGCAAATTAACTGTCAGGGACTTCATGGACTGATTCCAAGTTTTGATAGTATGTCAGCTGAAATCACTCGTCGAGGAGGCCGATGGTTAGGCTTGCGTAGCACATGTCCTAACCATCTCAATCGATGTAGATGAGAGTGAGAATAAATATGACTGAACTGATCAACTGATTAGTACCATTTAAAGTCTAATTTAGGTATACACCAAAAGACATATAAAACTTTCCGCCGATTAACCAACTCTTTAATCCAGTCAATATTACATAATAATGGGGTCGTGATTGAAATCTTTTAAATATATATATATTTTTCAAAATTAATTATTTTCAGTATCCTCATTTTTCGCCTCCAATCTATCGTAATGATGGCGAGGAAGAGAAGATCTACTTACAGTTGTTATGCGTTACTATTGTGTCACTCGTCCTAGTTGTATTCGTTGTGTCGATAATATTCTCTTGTTGGTGGACTAAAAGTCATAAAACATCAGTTGACTTAGGCATTACAGACGCTGGTAAGTTGTTTCCTTTCATTCATTCATTCATTTGTCTCTCTTCTGCTATTGTCACTAACATTTTTGAGTTTTTTGAATTTTCAATTTTTTGCAAATTGATTTACAATTTCCACAATTCGAGGAGGTGAAATTTCACCACACAACTCCCTTCATCAAGTGCATAAGTGCATAAAAAGCTGTGTACTACTGATTGACTGAAATAAGTAGCTGTATATCATCCATATCAACCAGTGGTACCCTCTAGGCAGATTATCAATGTGATCTAAACATCGGACAGCTATTTCGTCCATTCGGGGCCGGACTCATCAGTGGTACGTACCACTGGTATACAAATACTCATCTGAGCCAATCAGTAGTATACAGTCTTTCATTTAAGTGATAATCAAGAGAAGACCTATTCAGAAGTAAACTGATATTTGGCAGCTGTTTGTATTTCTGCACTGGATATCATCACCAGAGGTGGCAGATAAGGAATTCAGATCTTTATGGTGGACAATAAGTTGTCAGCCGCTACTGGACTCCTTCAAACTTAGTTTACTGAGTAACATACCTATTGTCCTCATAGTATGGCGAATTTTAATTGTTGGGATGCTTGAAAAATGCTTTAAATATCGCTATGAAGAAGTTGGCTGAAGCGCATCAGATACTTAAAAAGTTTAGTAGTCTTAGTTATAACCTATACTGTCGTCTTATCAGTGTAAAGAGAAGTAATTCTATGATTAATCGTTTTGTGACTTGTTTGAAATAATCATCAAAGAAGAATGAAGTGAATGGTCTTGTAAATGGCGGATATATATATATATATATATATATATGTATATATATTTGAATAAAGCAAAAACAACAGTGGTTTGTGCAGAATAATATGGTACCATCATTGTTTATTTCGTTGGCTTCTCTTCAGCTCAGCTGCATGCCTACAGCCTAAATAAATTATGAGGTTTATGTACAGAAAAGTTTTAACATACTTGCAAATTTTTCATGTTGTCAGTTGACAGAAGGTTCCACAATTAGTGAACAGTGCTCAGAAAATTGCGCTTATATAGTTTTTACACAGGCAGTTCAAGTTTAAGCAAAATAAATGTATGCATACAATGGTAAAGGAGTTACGTAATGAAGACGAGAGATGCATAAGATGCTGAGTGACTAATGAGTTAGGCAACAATGTACTGAGTTCAACTCAAATCATAGAAACAAGAGACAAGCAAAATTACACTATGTCAAAGTGGTGAGGTTAAAGCCAAAGATCACGTAATCTGAACACAAATATGGTTTCAAGAGTTTGATAGAAATTGCTATATATATATATATATATATATATATAGCAACAAAAACTCTCAGCATCAAAAATATGATCCGGATTTTCAACTCCAATGTGAATTCAGTGCTACTATACGGATCAGAAACTTGCACTGCGCGTCATAAAAAGCATCTCAAACAAACTACAAACCTTCATTAACAGTTGTCTTCGCTCAATACTCAAGATCAGATGGCCGGTCAGAAAAGACCAGCAACAGAGATCTCTGGGAGCGAACCAACACAGCAGGAACCGATTGTGAAACAAATAGGTAGGGAGAAATGGAGATGGATTGGCCATACTCTAAGGAAACCATCAAGTGACATCACTAGACAAGCCATTGCTCGAGTGGAACCCGAAAGGGAAATGGTGAGTTGGTCGTCAGTGAGAGGGTGACATGGAGGAGGTCATGTGAAGAGGAGATGAAAACGTGTGGGCAGACATGGAGCCAGGTGAAGACTCTAGCAGAGAACCGAACGCAATGGAGACACTTGGGTGAAGCCCTATGTTCCTCTAGGAATTAAAGGATATAATAATAATATATAGTACTATTTGCTAGGCAAATTCCTATCTGGTGCATTGATCAGTTTGTAAATTGAATATTTCGTCACCTTCATCCTCTTTTTCTCCATTATCCTGGTATTAGCTGTCATAGCATTCTAAAAGCTATGAATATACTCTGCTTCACTTCCAGCGAAGAGTCGTACCTACTCACACTTCCTCTAAACAGACAATATGTATAATAGTAGTATAAGTTCTATTCATTCCTTGAAGATGTTGATACTTTGAGTCAATCCATCAAAAATATATATATGTTTGTCTTCTTTTTTTGTCCTCTCCCAGTTTATTATATCTCCTTGAAACATGAGGTAATTTTGTTTTTCAGAGAATACTATCCATTTTATATATAAGTTATTATATGTGTGTATTTGTATATGTCATTGCACGAAATGTCTACTCATTGTTTTGTGTTATATTATGTCAAAATGCTTGCTTGTGTGCATGCAAGTGTTTTTGTTGTTGTTAATCCTGAACAGGCAAATAGTTTTGGAGGCTGTAATTAATGTTAAAAGTGTCTTCCACTGTCAGCTTCTTACTTAATAATATTAGCTTTATTCCGAATAGTGTATCTATAATGCACAGCATTTTCAGCGGAATTTACTGTACACTAGTTTGTCTTTATCCAGGACGTCCCAGTAAAATAGCCATTGTCAATAGATCGTGTGACACAATGTTGTTTTGATCTCAGACACAAACCACCCTCTTGTGTGGCATTTCTTCCTTGTCTCCTTCGTGATAACCATGACATTTGGTTGATTAGTAACTGAAAAAGCGGCAGGAGTAAAATTCGAGACTCAAAGACATAAGTGAATAATTAAAGACTGTAGATAATTAATTTTATTTCTCAGGCAGTGGCAATTTGTCCTAAGGATCCCATGAGCACTTATCTCATGTATTGGGATGCATTTTCACCCACGATTCTGCGTTTTCTCAAGTGTTGTAGAAACTTGCCAACTAGCAGGTTGTAGAGAAGAAAACACCATTAGAGGTCATGTTTCAACAGATTAAAACAAACTAAATAACAGCTCATGATGAAATCCTCCATGCAATAAATAACAAAAGTTATATGTGATATAATGATGGAGGTTTTTGGTAGCTCAGATTTTAAGCAGACCGCCAGTGAAAGTGAACACCGAAAAGTTCACGGTAAGCTTTTCATTCAAGTCTAGAATTAACCAGCAGTCCAGTTTACTCATCTGACGTTAATATGTGACATTTACTACTGATGTGATAGACACTCTTGAGGATTCCTAGTATTGGAGGATTTCATCGTGAGCTGACATCAGTTAGAGAACCATGGGAAAACCTACAGGGAGTACTGGACGGCTGTTTCGTCCCTGTTCGGGATTCTTTATCAGCACGCACCCAACACAGGGGGTTCGAACCCAGGACCTTGTGGTTACAAGGCGAGCTCGTAGACCATTAAGCCGCTGGGACCCGATCCAAAGGCCAGCCCATGTATTCTAACTTCTGCCAATTCAAGACATAGCGCAACCACTTCACCTTCAACCTGCTGGTCACGGCTTCCCACTGATACTCACTAGTGACTGGCCCTCTAGTGGGAAGCCGTGACCAGTTGGGTACAGTAGGTTGAAGGTGAGGCGGTAACTCATCGAAGAAGACATTGCGAAATGGTCGCGCTATGTTGTGAATTGACAGAAGTTAGAATTCATGGGCTGGCCATTAATTATATCGAGTCCCAGTGGCTCAATGGTCTACGAGCGAGCTCACCTTGTAATCAGAAGGTCATAGGTTGGAACCCAGGCTGTGGTTCCATACTGTGAAGAGTCCCAAACGAGGCTGACGAAACAGCTGTCCAGTACTCCCTTCAGGTTTTCCAATAGTTCTCTAATCGATGTCAGCTCATGATGAAATCCTCCAACCAATCAAACAAAATCCCCACAAAGCCAGTACTTGAAGATTCTCAGCGTGTAGTAGAAGCTCTCTGAAACAGTCTTTGACTTTTATAGTGTCCATCTGGTTTCGATCACCTTTAAATACAATTTTCCCTGAATTATTCAGTGGTCAATAGGATAAACACATTGTTTCACTGTTGTTCGTCTATTCCCTTCAGTGTTATGTAATTTGGTAGTCATCAGCTTTTACCTCTTGACCATAAATTTGTTGTGAATCCATGTTAGATATGATTTTGTTGTTTTTAAGAAAATGAGTTTTCCAGCATTTAGTAAATCATATAACAATTTGTTATTTCTCTTTAATTTCTTGTCTTACATTATATAATTTAAAATATGACTTTATGGCTTGATCACTTATGGTTTCGAAATCATGGGAAAGATATGTCACTCACGTGATTATTTCCGGGGTTCTGGCTTTTCCAGTGGAATAGCTTTATCCTACTGTCTTCACACATAATATTTTCTAGTGTTAACGTCAATATGAAGTGAAGTGTGAGAAGTCACTGTGAATGAGATAGATAACGAGCTTTTTTGTGACGACACTGAATGTGACTGACTATCTGTCACCGGAATTATTCGCATGACCATATTCTCTTGTGTGTTGATCTTGTTCGTTTCATTTGCTTGTTTGACATTTATTTGATCCTTTGAACTTCCACTTTGTCATGTATTGCCTAAGAAATCAGATTCCATACCAACATATCTGTTAGCTGTACTACTTTTCGTGGAAAAGTGTTTAACACTCTAAGTATTTCTTCTGTGTAACATTTCCACATTTTCCTAATAGAAATAGACTTATAATTTAATCTTTCACTGGCTACTTTAGACTATGCAACTGGGCATTATTTTAACTAATTAAAAAATTTTTTTATTACAGTATTTTGGTACAAGTATGGAATTTTCAGCATGTGATATCGGTAGCCCAAATTTAGCAGGGCGAAAATAGATATCAGGTGTGCGTCAGCTGGGGATCGGACCCCGGACCGTATGCATGGTCAGCGAGCGTCCTAACCACTGTTTCACCAAGACAAAAGTATAACTTGTAGCTAGTCATTGGTGGTAAGGCATTTAACAGAAATAAATGCTGTATATACATCCGAATCAAGTTCACGTTTAGTAGTTTTAAAAATTTTGAGCACTGGCTATATGATATTCATTACTGCAAAAATGGTGTGCATTTCCCAATGAATAAGAAACAATGAACGATATTGATGGTTTTTTTACTAACATTCAGGCTTCCTGCCGATTATCAAATCAATGTACACCATGATGGCTAGCTACCTAGAATTGCTGGCCACATTGCAAACCTGATTGATAGAATTCAGTCTGCACCAAAGAGAGGACTAGACACATCACACTAGTTGCTAGTGTCCAATCAAAGTAATACTGAGCTATATAATACTGCTAACAGCTTTATCAAAGTATTGTTAAACCGAAATTTATAAAATCTCAGCTTATATACAGTAAATTAATTAACGATCTTTCTTCAGCAAGGGGCCATTTTTGCGTTGTCAAGTTGGTCAGTTGGTAAAGATAACAAGACCATGTGTAGAATGTTGAATTAGATAAGTGTATGAAATTATAGAAGCAGTATGTGTTTACGTAATGAAGTTGCTTATCACAACTGTGTTGATTTTGTCACTTCATGGTGGAGGGGGTGTTAGAACCAGGTCAAATTATGTCTTAATCCATCATTCTTATTTAGACAATTTTGATTCCATCTGATGATATGAAGCGCTTCTGATGTTAGACGTTCTTTGTGATTTCTGAAATTTTTCTGGATGATGATTTCAGTATTATCAAAATCAATTTTATCGCTTGACTCTACAGTGCGTAATCCTATGGCTGGCGATTTTTCTCACGATGTTTGTTCGATGTATGTGGCATCACATTCCAACCATTTTATTTTGTAGACACAATTAGATTCAGAATCCTTTTGAATTTTAGTCTTATACATAGACGAGGTTCCTTTATAGTGTGTCTGATGTTTTGGAAAAAACTCTGATGTTGTGTCTGCTGAGTACTCTTCTGATGTTGTCTGGCGTTTCTGATTTGCATAGAATGACAGTTGTTGCGGTCAATGTCTTCAGAATACATTTACGATTATATTTACTGTTGATGTTGATTTTGGTAATGAAGTTCTCTGGGTAGTAATTTTTCTTATGAATCTCGGTAATATTTAATACTTCTTCTTGTTTTTCCATTATCATCCGTTATCATAGAGTGTTCTTGTCTAAGAAGACTTTAGGCAAGTGCAACTGATACGTTTGCACGGATGGGGTATGATGATCCGAAATCTAAATATTTGTTGCAGTATGTTTTCTTCTTGATTATAAATGTATTAAAACATCCATTTTTTTCCTCTTAAGTGGGCAGTCTAGAAAAAGTAACTCAATGAAGTCTGATTCTACTTCCAAAGTAAACTGAATACTGGGAGACTGATCGATCAGTTTCACCAAAAATTAATTGTGTGGGTTTCATTTTAGTATAACGAAAGTATCATCAACTTATCTTAGCCATATTTTAGGTGTGAGTATGTTTGAGAAAATGTTATGTTCAAATGTATTCATGAATAAGATCAGAGATCATTAAACAGGCTGGTGAATAACATAACAACAGATTTCATCGACTAATTCGATTAGTTCCATTATGGATCAAATTTTATTTTGACAATGCTACACACTGTTATACAGCAATATTCACTGATGACTACATTTCGAGCACAATTTATTGCTGCTTTTAATCACATCAAGTTACTCGCACAACTTTCTTGCTTCTTTCATTTAAATGAGTAAAAATTGATTAGACATCCGAACAAAATCAATATAAGACTTGCGTGAACGGAAAGGAAGATGAAGTACATTCGGAACGAATATGTGTTATCAATAAAATGCGATAGGATGGGAAATAAGACAAGTGTTACTAATCAATAAGATGGGAAATACGATGTTTTTATGGTACAATAAACAACTTGTTAGAATGTTATAATATGAATTGTAATACATTTTAACATTATTTATTATCCTCCTCTGATTTGACTGGTAATAATATTTCCCATATATCTGGCATTTGCATTGAGTCATTTCTGTTGCACGTGTTGGTTGTAGACTTGGTGAACCAGGCAGGATTCAATAATCAATCTCTCTCTCTCCACCTAACTATATTACTTTTTAGAATTTTAACTCTGTCCCACCCTATTGTTTGGTTGTGCGTTGTAAATGCATGCATTGCAGTTGCTGAGCTTTTTCTAAATTACTCATCTTCGTGGATGGGGGAAATCATTCTAACTTTAGTTAAATTCTTATGTTCTGACAATCTGACTACCCCCGATCTACTAGTTTCAACCATGTAGTTGAATTAACTCACAGTCATTGTAAGGTATTTTGTAGATT